AAAAAGAGATGGAGTACCTTTTTTGCAATACCACACATTAGAAGCGAAGCACTCATAGGAGGAAGGTCACCGACTAAAATCACTGCAGAAACATAAGAAATGTCAATAAAAAGCGGATGATCGGTAGATAAACCCACAATCTGGTATGAAAACCGCACTCATTAGAGCACAGAAAACATGCGCAGTGCGGTAACTCAAACGACCTGGTAAAGCAGTTTTGGTTTAATCATACCTTTCACAGTATTGAAGTTCGATTCAATTTAGTTTTTTCACAAGTTTGGTCACATTAGAGTCCAGTTTATGTTTTTCACTGAGGTCAATCCAAAATTTGGATCCCACAATGAAACCGAAGTAACCATCAGGTCTGTATTTACCATTCATCATCAAAGGGATGACGTCTTTGTGAAGCTGATATGTGTACTCTGCCTCCACATGAATCATTAATAGAACTAAGCTGTCAACTTCTTAGCTATTATTAATAGTTCTCAATTCACCACGTTCTCATCACCGACAAGAGTGTCGTCATTTGCCTCCTCCTGATTGCCTTGTTCTTCTTTCTCCGTATCCTTGCGAACATTCCTATCCCAAGTTGTTATCTCTGGGTAATTACTTCTACGATCAACAATTATATCGTAAACAACTTTATGCTATTACCATAGCCAAAGCAAAATCTGTCTCTACAGATTTGTTATATCTTCTCCAACACTTTAAGAAAACATCAGTTAAAGCTTTAGCATCTTCAAGGGACCCTTCTGTCAAAGATTGCCATCGTGAAAAGCTTTATTCAAGGACTGTTAATGCTTATTCGTGGAACTCAATCGTGTTTCAAGTTCAGGATCAATTTTACAGAGCAGAGATGTAAGTACCTTTTTGTCACCAACATCTTTGGCAATTTTTTCATTGTCTGCAGGAAAACGATCAGTCACGGGTTTTCCTTCTATGGTGTTCGTGTTAGATTCATCTTTCACATTTCCGTCGGAGGATTTTTCATCTTGAGAAAGTTTATTGTGACGCTCTTCAGAGTGGCATATGTTTTCAAAATGTTTGCAATATGTTTGCTGGCGTTTCGACACAGCGGCGACAGCGTAGACACAGCGTCAGACGTCTGCGCATGTGCAACGTCGTAATGATCATTAGCAACGAAATGGAACGAACGTGCCTTATCCACCGAGCAAGTGCATCCATTTTGCCGCTGTGTCGGTGTGTCGATTTTAGGAAGCAAGCGGTCTCAAACGAATTACAATCAACCACGCAAGCCAATAATTCACGGTGTTTTAAAAGCGTATAACCTTTTCCGGTGAGCTCAAAACAGAATGGTAAATCAACAGGGTTGCTCGTACTTGAATAACATTCATGTTCGAAAAGTTTCGAGTTTTGTTTGTTTTCTTTTAGAGATTCCCTGAAAGTTTCAACTGTTTTCGCTTTTTTTGCGAGACAGTGGTTGCTTTTATGTCTTCCATTGAAATTTTTCGCGGAGAAATTGGGGTGCGGCCAGCCAGAATTGATCCCCTCACGCACGACTGACGTTTAGCCGCTGTGTTATTTACAGGCCCAGCTTTGTTATCATGTTACCATGTCGGATTTTATGCCTACTGTTTGTACCGTAGCGGCTATAGATTCAAGCTACAGAGTCTTCTCAACATAACTAGATACGTGGTTTTAGTTTTTCGCAGAATTTTTCACTGATTCTTGACATATGCTCCCAGACTCAGGGACCGCGCAGAAGGAGGGACGGGAGGACCCCCCTCCCCCCCCCCCCCACTTTTTTGCAAAAACAAAATAAATTTAGCAAAAATTTATTTACTACATCGAGAAGGTGGGACTATTTTTGTATCCGACCAGCTTTCGCAGAAATTAAAAAGAGCTGTCAATCTTCGAGCATACCGCCAAAATATAAATAATCTCGCATTAATTATGGATTTTTTTCCACCTCCGCTCCAGATGTGCCCTATTCTAGCGACAAAAAAAGCCCTGCAAGAAGACTGGAACGGTAAAGTGTTTTTCTTGATCTTTTTCTTCCGGTTTTGTCGCGTCAAATTTTGGTCTGAAAATGTTTATGAATTGTCTAGAGTAGCTGTTTTTCTCAAGTTCAAAAAGAAATGAAACCCGTACGAAGAGTTTTAAGGATCGTTTCGAACGCT